AAGTTCAAATGTACAGCTGTAACGACTGCGATTACGAAACTAAATTCAGGGGTAATATTATAGGGCACCAACTGAAACATAAAAATACTTTCCAGGTTCAAATGTACAAGTGTAACGATTGCGATTATGAAACCAAATATAAAAGAGCTATCAAACGGCACCATCTGAAGCATAAAGATTCATCACAGGTTCAAATGTACAGCTGTAACGACTGCGATTACGAAACTAAATTCAGGGGTAATATAATAGGGCACCAACTGAAACATAAAAATACTTTCCAGGTTCCAATGTACAAGTGTAACGATTGCGATTATGAAACCAAATATAAAAGAGCTATCAAACGGCACCATCTGAAGCATAAAGATTCATCACAGGTTCAAATGTACAGCTGTAACGACTGCGATTACGAAACTAAATTCAGGGGTAATATAATAGGGCACCAACTGAAACATAAAAATACTTTCCAGGTTCCAATGTACAAGTGTAACGATTGCGATTATGAAACCAAATATAAAAGAGGTATCAAACGGCACCATCTGAAGCATAAAGATTCATCACAGGTTCAAATGTACAAGTGTAACGACTGCAACTACGAAACTAAATACAAGTTCATTATCAAAAGGCACCAACTGAAACATAAAGATCCATCAAAAGTTCAAATGTACAAGTGTAACGATTGCGATTGTGAAACTAAATACAAGAACGTTATGAAATGGCACCAACTGAAACATAAAAATAGTTGCCAGATTCAAATGTACAGATGTAATGACTGCGATTACGTAACTAAATACAGCCACCATATGAAACAACACCAATTGAAGCATAAAGATCCATCACAGCTTCAAATGTACAAGTGTAACGATTGCGATTATGAAACCAAATATAAAAGAGCTATCAAAGAACACCAATTGAAACATAAAGTTCCATCACAGGTTCAAATGTACAAGTGTAATGATTGTGATTATGAAACTAAATATAAGAACGTTATCAAAAAGCACCAACTGAAGCATAAAGATCCATCGCAGGTTAAAATGTACAGGTGTAACGATTGCGATTATGAAACTAAATATAAGAACGTTATCAAAGAGCACCAACTGAAGCATAAAGATCCATCGCAGGTTCAAATGTACAGGTGTAACGACTGCGATTATGAAACTAAATACAAGAACGTTATCAAAAGGCACCAACTGAAGCATAAAGATCCATCACAGGTTCAAATGTACGGGTGTAAGGACTGCGATTATGAAACTAAATACAAGAACTTTATCAAACAGCACCAACTGAAGCATAAATATCCATCACAGGTTCAAATGTACGGGTGTAACGATTGCGATTATGAAACCAAATATAAAAGAGCTATCAAACAGCACCAACTGAAGCATAAAGATCCAGCACAGGTTCAAATGTACAGGTGTAATGACTGCGATTATGAAACTAAATACAGGAGTGGTATTAAATATCACGTGTTGAAGCACAAAGAGCTTTCTGAAATGAAAATGTAGCGCTGTGTTTTGCTAAACTCTATGCATAACGAGTTTTTGAGGAGACTTCAAATGATGCACAAAAATGTTTGCAGGTGTGAATTACTGCCCTTTGTGTCTCGTGCAAAATATAGAAAATGGAAGCATTTAAGAGCTATAAATGTGGATATGATAATATATGTTCATAAATATTGGAATAAGATGTAAGTTAATGAAGTGTTGATGTGTTTTCCTGTTCTAAATTACTTATTTTGTAAATATGCGTTGTATACATGTGGGTGGGGAGGCTATCGCAAGTTTCTATTTGATACCAAAAGATTGAGGTTTTATTATTAATAATTTTTTCATAGCAAATTCAAGTGGTTTTCAAATATCTAAATAGACGAATTTTAAAAAAGTTTATATCCATAAATATTTGTAATTTTGAAAAATTACTAACCGGACTTAATTTACACCGTGAATTGTTCCCACAGTTAAAATATAAGTCTACACAAATTAGAATATGTTCTAATTTTCGTGTATTTCTTCATGAAGTTCGGAAGTACCGACAAAAATATCGAAGTTAAATTATTATTACTTCTTTATAAATAGGGATAGTTAAACTGGAAAAGTACGATTACAATTTTTTTTCGTGTTATCTCAATTTATTCAGGAAAAAGTGTTCATTTTCAATCTGTCTTTATTTACCAAGACTTTCCTGCAAAGTTGGTAGTAATTGTTTTTGTTTCAAAGAAATTCGCACAGTTAGGAACAATGTAAAACCAAACCTTTTATGAAAAAACCGATGAGTTAATTCATGAAAAATTTCTTGAATTTATTCATGAATTAATTCTCACTCTAAGACAGCTGTAAGTAACGCTATTGTATTTTTTTAGTAATATTTTAAGACTTAGAAATAAGGTTTAAACCCTATTATAGTTTTTGTATTATAGGCCTGAATGAATTAAATAAAACCTAACTATACATGCTGATTTTATATGTAATACCGTATCCATCGTACTATAAGACTGTTCCACATCGGACAACTATGTTAACAGTAATGATTCTTTTTTCATCATTTATTGATAGCACTTGTGTGAAAGTTGTGATTTTCTAAGTTGGGTCGTCTTTCAAATAAATTTCTAATTTCCTCGCAAAACTGTAATCTTCTGTCTGTATCATCTGCCCACAGTTCTTGTAAGTTGTTAACTTTATAAGGATACCATTGAGACTTCAGAGTTCTGTGAACCAAGGACTTTGAGAAGTTGAAGTTCCATGTAAACAGCGGTCTTCAAAATATATATCTAAATAGACGAATTTAAAAAAATTTATATCCATAAATATTTGTAATTTTGAAAAATTACTCACTGGACTTAATTTACATTGTGAATTATTCCCGCAGTTAAAATATAAGTCTACACAAATTAGAACATGTTCTAATTTTCGTGTATTTCTTCATGAAGTTCGGAAGTACCGACAAAAATATCGAAGTTAAATTATTATTACTTCTTTATAAATGGGGATACTTAAACTGGCAAAGTACGATTACAATTTTTTTTCGTGTTATCTCAATTTATTCAGGAAAATGTGTTCATTTTCAATCTGTCTTTATTTACCAAGACTTTCCTGCAAAGTTGGTAGTAATTGTTTTTGTTTCAAAGAAATTCACGCAGTTAGGAACAATGTAAAACCAAACCTTTTATGAAAAAACCCATGAGTTAATTAATGAAAAATTTCTTGAATTTATTCATGAATTAATTCTCACTATAAGGCAGCTGTAAGTAACACTATTGTATTTTGTTAGTAATATTTTAAGACTTCGAAATAAGGTTTAAACCCTATTATAATTTTTGTACTGTAGGCTTGAATGAATGAAATAAAATTTAACTGTACATGCTGATTTTATAAAACCGTACTTATCTTATTATAACACTGTTCCATATCGGACAACTAGGTGTGTTAACAGTAACGATTCTTTTTTTTCATCATTTATTGTAGCACTTGAGCAGAAGGCACTTGTTTTGAAATATATATATTTCAATGTATCCACATTAAGATTTGTGTTTCATATCACTGAAAACGAAAAAAAAAAAAAGAGTAACTAACAGTGGTGTCTTCTGCTACTATCTCAGTTATCTGCACCAAATGGAGATCTTCATCGCGTAACCTTAATCACTACCTACTATGTATATAAGGTATACGCGTATTCGGAAGGCCTAATAAAGAAGACAGAAAATCGCAAAAAAAAATTCCGTAGACATTTTAAAAAATAAGCAACAGGGAACGCGCCTGCGGTATATAGAGCGTTGGAACGTTCAAGAGAAATTGCAATTGGTTTCAAAATCGAGGAGCGGCGCATCCCAACTTTATTAACAAAGTGCTATGGATGGATGTTTCGAACGTCTTCTCTGATACGTTGTTTTTTCAATCTTTAGATAGTGCCTCGTCTGTTCACGTACACTTTGCTTTTCATATAACCCCACAAAAGAAATCTAGTGGGGTTAAGTTTCTTACATCGAGGCGAAAATAGGGAAGGACACCATCTTATCGGAACCAGACATCACCAGCAGGCATATCGTGCTCATTATGCTTAGGAAAAATTAATTCCAGGGTTGGAATCGGCTGAAAATGCAAAAAATCCAAAAAAATGTCGCCTGTCAAATTGTCCTCAAAGAAATAAGGTCCAGTATGCGATTTCCTACTATTCCAGCCCAAACATTCACTTTTTCCCGCTGTTATCTTGCATCCAATGCCAATTCTCTGGGCTCCAAAACGATCCGCCTGTTCCGTTTAAGCTAAAAGTTGCATCCTCAGTAAAAATTATGTGACTTTTTAAGTGGGTTGTCTTTCAAATAAATTTCTAATTTTCTCGCAAACAATTTTATGTGTTTATCAAGTTTTTTTTTTGAGAAAAAAAGAGCTTTAAAGTAGAAGATTAATAAAGAGTAGGTAAAGTACAGAAGATACTATGATTGTTTGAAATAGTCGATAGTACGAAATAAAAGACAATGTTTTACATTTTTCTAACTATGACAAAAAAGTAGGACTTTAGAAGGGCTATTTATTTATACTATAAAATACAGAGCGTCCCTATTAAAAAAAAATGTCGATAATGTAGTAGGTCTGTCAAAC